CTGTTTGCCACCCGAGAGCATCGAGGCTGGCCGCCAAAAGCCCTTAATCCGTAGGTTCCCTACCACACGGTCTCTGGAAGACGAATTCCAGCGATCTATAACTCGCGTGAGACGCATAGACAGTTTCCGGCCCCTAATCTTCTATCATCCGTGGTGTTATGCCAGTGTCAGCTGGTTGCGACCGCCGGAGGACCTTGGTAACGAGCGGCGAGACATTAAATAGCCCATGACAAGATCCGGCACATTCATTACCCGTCGAAAATTACGATAAGATGAGAATTCAGGTCCCCTTCCTCATCCTTCGGTAGTGCCATGGAGTATCAGAACCACAATCTGAAAACAAGGGGGGGAGGGGGGGGGGGGGGGGGGGGGGGGGGGGGGGGGGGGGGGGGGCGATTCAGGATACGTCTGTCCTCCGTAGAACCCCTGCACTAACCGAGGTCCCTACTCGTAACACACCCTCGTCCCAGTCCTTTTATGTCTCGGTTAAGACTATGGTGGACAAGCCCTGATATGACAATATTCCAGGCGGGGCTCGAGACGAAATGCCGAAAAATAGCTTCAACAAAAAGCAAATTGGCCGTTAAGGTATTTCGCGAGAAGAGCGCGGAACGATAAACCACATCATACGAAAAACCCTTCGTAACAAGCAGCCTTCCTTCCAGTTGTCTCCAGAAATGAACTCGCTGTCGCTGTACGACTCACTAAATCAACCTGCCTGGTGACGACAGGGGGTTCACCACCGCCGACTACATATCGGGTGCGTGAGATTTGCATGCTTCCGATTTCGGAGAAACGGAGCACTTGGACACCTATTTATTTGACCATTCAACCATAAGTAACCATTTCCCAGTATCCTATCCAAGTGCACGCTGAATTGACTCGGGAACCCTCCGATATAACCACAATATCTTCCAAGCTTTAAGTCGTCACGCAAACATTAATATAGCGTGACACCCTAGCCTCCGCAAGGCTCAATTACCATTGATGTGTGAACATCAAAGCCCAAATACCGAGCCCTGCGAACGCCGCTAAGAACAGCTTCCTGATCGAAAGCTAACGCCTCACCCGTCACGCAAAAAAACACTGGCTCCCTCCCCAGCAAGGAAGGCATACACCCATTGACAGCCGACCAGATAATGCCCGTAAGACTCTCAATTTAATAGAGCCGAAAAAGTGCGGAACAGCTGTCTAAAGCTTTCGAAAAATCAACTAATCCACGTCTACAGCTTCTGGCCACTGTCTTAACCGCTTTCGCCCAGACATTCACGAGCTACAAGTACAATAGTCAGACATGAAAATCCTTTCGGATTCCACGTTGTTGCAACACAGAGCAAGATTGAATAGCCGTTCCCAGGTGGTTCTCCACTATATCCCTATCATCTATCTCAGGAACAACTTGTACCACAAGCTTGTCCCAACTTACACGAACAGGTAGTTCGCGGTGGCAGCGCCGTCACCGCCCTTAAAAATCGGAACATTACAATGATTGCCTCCTTCCATTTCGAAGGATAGGTTGCAGCTGTCCAAGCGACATTAACATACGCACGCGTGAGATGGACCACTCACTCATACCATGTCATGAACACTTCGGATGAATTGAATTAGACCGAACTTTAGAGGGATTAATGCCTGGCAGGTAGCTCTAGACTGAGTACTCCGTCATGCAAAATTTCACCTAAACCAAGATCCGATAGAACTCTGGACAACCAATTCAACCTGCGGAAAGAGGTCTCCCGAGCAAAGACCACCAGTATACTGAGCACTCATGTAAACATGTCCTGTTGTCATAGTCAGTTTGAGCGCACGGGTCCCGTCTACTACGCAATATAAAGCTGTATAGACAGATTTTGCACCCGCTGCGTCTTTTAAAGTAAGCAAGTAATTCTTGGGATAACTCGGCCAAATCCGCTAAAACATTGCTCAGTATTGAGGGAGACCAGCATTCGAGATGTTGCTTACATTATTTCTTATCCTCTCGAGAACGCTATACCTACGATCAGGCTGAGTTAGCTGCTCTGGAAAGTCTTGACGCCAGCATCTAGACCGTTCTTGATAGTGTACTTGCCTGTGTATCTAACCATAAGAGGCTGTCCCTTAACCCTCTTTTTCTAATGAGT